TTATAATACACACACGTGTGCATTTAGATACCTCTGTTGATTAAAGTAACGGGAATAAGGCTGCAAGCTAACCATACTTTGGACACGTGTTCTTTTGTGTCGTCAGCCGAGCGTGAGCTCACCAATTTATAGATTTAAAATCACACCATCGAGGTCAGATTATCCGACTTATCAAAAGTTGTACTATAGACACTGACGGGTTTTGCCAAATTCGTTATCACAAATAGACGGTCCGATTTTTTTGTTTGTTCTGATAATCGTTAGGGTTTTTCCAGAGTCGCCATCTCTGATATGAGAATAAGAGATTCAGAGCCAGAAAATGGAGGCTGTAAGATCGTAATCGGTCGACTGTGTTACGCGTGAATCTGTTGAAAGGATAACTTAAAGCTAATCGTTTACACAGAGTTAATGGGCTTTCCTCACACAGAACGACCCATAGCCTCAACGCAGACGGGGTCATCCACTTTTGCCTTAGGTGATCCTGATGATACCATACACAAGGAAGGGGATAGAGTATAATCAGGATTACAAACGTTACGTATAAACGGTACCAGTGATCGGTATCACAAGGACCTGAGGGTTGGTACCCTATATAAACCCATAAAACGTGTAAAAATACTCGGAACACCTGAGTTTAGGTCCCAACATAGCTGTAACCAATTATCAAGTCCCTGTGATCGGTATAATCAAAATGCCACAATACGGATTGTCTGAAGTGTTTGACAAACATGCTTCTTGTGATTTAAATTTGCTGTAAATGCTGTCGTGTTTTGAATATTTCACTGTGTCTCTGTTCTCACAATTTCTTGATTAAATGTGTTGTGTTACTGTCACACGTGTCTGTATCGGAAACGCAAACACATTCATAAGTGTATATTTGAAGTCCGCAAAACTACTGCTGTGCATTACAGCTGTAGACTCTCTGAATAAGTTCAAATAGTAAAACTCGCAGATTGTTTTGAGTTGAAGCCTGTAAATCGAATATTTCGTCAGTGGCATATTATCCAAAATCAGTTTTCACTTTAAACTCTTTTCATTACCGAAATCATCAGTTAGGGGAAGTTTTAAACAGATATTACACGAACTACCTGAAACTTTCATTAATTGCGTTATCCAAGTTTTACCTTCTCGAAACATTTTTTATCCGCCTGTTTCAGTTTCATGTTTCCGGCTATCACCGTAATAAAAAGTATATTGCCGGGATTAAAATCACGGTAACATCAGCTGCCAAAACCCGTTAGTGTGAGGTCACTTGGGGAAACAAAACCTGTTAGTGTGAGGTCACTTGGGGAAACAGCTTGTAAGGAGCCGAGTGGTCGTGTACTTGTTCTTCACTTTTTACTCATCTTGAGGAAATTGAAAAATGTTTACAAATGTGGCATGCTACCTCAGAAATCTTCTCAGAGTGACAAAGTTGTGTTTATCGCCAGAGACTGTAGAAGTTATCTATTATCCCTGAGTCAATGAAACACCAGTGGGTATCATTTTCCTTTTATGACTGGTTGATTTAAAGAAGCATCAGTTAGTAACCTTTTGCATATATGACGTCACACTCCTGAACAAATAGCTTCCCTAATCACAGCTTTAATGCAGTGCGAACGTCTCTTTTAATGGTTTATGATGACCAAATTGTAACTCGCACTGAACTGAAATATACATTTGTATATAATAAATGTAGATTAGGAGAAATAAATTGTTTCTCCACTAGAGGCTGTGTATAGTAGATCCATTATTTGGTTTCTCCCGCCAGAGGGCGGGTACTCGGTACCATATTATATGTAAACAAAGTGTTTTACGTTGTAAGTGATACATGTTCTGTATCTGTCCCAGTAGGTGGTATTTGCTGTACATGTAAGACACGAACGAGAGACAGACCGCAGACTTTTGGGGAATATTTGCGGTTTGACAATTTTACTCAGCATTGAACAATTTTGCACCCTATTACCTTCTCTAGATGAACTGTTAACCACTTGTCAGGTTGGTGTTACTACCAATTTTCTACGTTGTTTCGAGGATTTCATACGTTCATACACTCCCGAATATTTTTGCATATTGTTATTCAAATGAATCTATTAAAATATAAACAATAAATACCATGAAAGGCGCGATAGTGTGAAAATCACAGCGTGAGTATTGGTTGAATGCCGCGGTGACATGTGTTTGAATATCCCATCCTTTTAAGACCGACACATGACCGGGTGGTGTTGACGTAGTTGTCTCTGATTGTGATTGGACAGCTCTGTGATTACCCTGGCGACGGCTGAGGAAGCTGGATGTATAGCGGACGTTACAGTATCGACGTGGCGGGGTTTAGTCATACTTACTTTTTTGCCGCTCGTGACTCACTTGTGCTGTATGTATGTGTTGCGATATGTTAGGATTCTGTATATACTACAAATAAACGCTTCACATATTTCCTGAAGGTTTTTTTTGCCATCTTTCTTCCTATAATGTAAGTGAAAAGTACTTCTGAAGGGTTTAATTAAAAATGAAAACACAGGCATTGGTACCGACTACATAGAGGCTTAATTTGGAAACTATTTATATCTTCAGGTGGAATTGTCGCACGTGTTGGGTAATGAGGCACAAGAAATGATCTTTGCTTACTCTCTGACAATAAGTCCCCTTGAATGTGGACAGATTTGGGCAATACGGGGTTTTCGAATGAGGGAGGGGGCTTGGTTTTTCCAGTAAGGGAGGGTCTTCGTTAGATAAGCAATTTATAGAATTATAAATTTAATTAACCTTTCTGGTATTGATGACACGATTTGCTTGTTACATTTGTAGCAATATTAGAGTCTGTGTCAAACTGTAGTGCTTTTACAGTGTTACAACATGTACATTAGACGGAAAAATTATTCTAACTTTTCAGACAAAAACAAATCATGTCTTTGTGAGACTGAGGCCGATGGCATATGAAATTCGGTTAATCACTTTTAATTAACAAGCACACACGTGACATATGTGTCAAACGTAGCGGGAGTAGCGTCCCTTGTTAAACATCGAGACGTATGAAGTATAGATTATAGACTATTTACTTATTTTTTTCAATCAGGTCAAGTCAAGTCACTGTCAAGTCAAATTTATTTATAAGTCTGTACATGGTTTAACATGATAACACCTATAAAACACACTATAAAACATGAAAATAAGAAAAACGCTGTAACATTTAACAGAAATATAACAAGCATGCATAAATAAGACAATTAGTTAGCACATATATATATATCAAATACATCAATAAAATATTAAACTTTGATAAGCGAGAATCGAAATACAATAAAATAATAAATATGATGTACATTTTGTCAAGAGGAATATCACAAATGCAAGAATGACGCCCTAAAAATAGTCATAAAGGTCGGAAACCTATTTGCAACAACCATGACTTAGTCTTGGAAGAAGAAAAAACTAAGTTTACGAGATTCACCGCGAAAGCATGGTGGTACTGAAGTTAGAACAGAGCATGCTTTAAAGTTACCTCTGAATGAACCGTCGGGGCGATATTTTTTGCAAACATGTTAAAAAGTCTAATGTGTAAAGTAATACTAAGTCTCTGTGGTGAAAATATTCTCGTGGCTCTTGACCCTAATAGGTTTTTTTCCCACTGACATATGCTACATTGGAGGGTAAAAAGTCACTATATTACTGCTTCCACGTGGACTTATCTAGTGATGCAGGGTCAGTTTTTGAACATCCGTTCGGGTTCCATAATCTCAATACGTATTGATAAAAATTGAAGTTTCATATATTAGTTTATTCGGTGTGTTTGTATTTCTCCTTGTTGTAAAGTGAAGGATTCATTTTGAGTATATTCACACTGTCATATTTAATCTAGTAAACAATTTAGTTCTCTAATTGCTCATAAATTGAATTGAGTCTACACGACATATACCGTATACTTTTGATAAGGGTTTAACCGTTTACAATCTCCACTTATTGAGACACCAAGATGTTCACGATAGTCAGAAAAGTCTCTTTCCGCGACGTCAAATCTCATCTCGAGTTCATATGTGGAGGAAGAAACTGCTAAATCTTTTTGTTTTCTTAAAAATTTATTTTACGAGTCAAGTAATTGCCTTTTTTTGTTTACTTGTTTTTTCCATTATCGTCATTTATTACACTTTGTAGTACAACACAGCTATGCAAAGCACGTATTCTGGTTTGAATGACATCATAAGCTTAGCATTCCTTAGTAATAAGCAGATGTCAGTTAAAAAATGTTAATTGAAATTCACATTAGTTTCTGTCAAATCAGCACTTTACATAGTTAAGCCTGGCACAGTCGAGTGGAACTCTCAATTTGATATTTTAATGCGGAAACGGAATGACTGCCGTGTTATATTTCACGGAACCGCGTGACATATATTCCATAACGTTTGAAAGTGTGCCAAGTATATATAACGAGCGGTGTCTGATGTGTTCTGTCAACCGAGAACCCCCGAGACCAGTTTAGCTTACACGTGCACATGTATAACATTGATGCGCTGGGATTAATGGAGGCTTCTGTTGTCATTAATACATAAAGTCGGACAGATGTTCCACAGTTTATGATTGAAAACTGCTGTTTTGTCTCTATTGACATGTTCTTCTGAAATAATAAAGTGTCCTAAAAGGTTTTTGGAAGTTAGCGGATATGACGTCATCACAGAAAATTTTGTGTGACGTCATGTTGTCACAATTATCATTATCATTATCGTTATAGTGTTAAGACCATTCGGCATCATATTACAAATATTTTCTGATGCGGTAACAATTCTGATAAGTTTAGATTCGTTACACGTCCAATACGTATGTACTGGACTCCTTGCTACTACAAAATCTCGTTTGATCTGCGAGATCGTCCTTTTTTCATGAGATGTCGTTGTTTTCAAATTACTCATGTATAAGTGTTATATTGTCAATATCTTCTTTTAAATTGATTTTTAATAGATTCTGTTGGCTGCTTTGGTATTTGAGTATTAGATGTTTTTACAATATTTTCTTTATTTCGTTTGCAGAATACTTAATTATACACCTGACATGCCAATGAAGCAAACGAGACGGGCGATATACGAGGGGTTCCAAGTATGGAGTGACGTCACCAACCTCACTTTTACGGAGGTACCGAACGGCGTGGCTGACATCATGATCAAGTTCGCACACAAATTTCACCAAGATGGCTACCCTTTTGATGGACAAGGTAAAATTAACTGAAATTTATTTTTGACGTAAAAACGTGTTACCTTTATACAAAATCAGAATTAATATTGACGTGATATTAACATAACAAGGCCATACAAGGTCAGTCATTATACCATTGCTATAAAGGGTAGCTGTACAATAAGACACACGAAAAGTAAGGGTTTAAGAAAAGGAAAAAACGTTGGTAATGATTAAGAACCAATGTATTGCAATCGATGCAGCAAATCGCTAGTAATTTCTAAAATGTTCCGCAAATACAGGAAATAAGGAAAAAAATATTGGATTTTGCAGATGTTGTGTCCTCATTGGTCGCCTCATACGCTCATTTCTGCGGCGAACCAATTCTTATGTCGTGACCACAATATTTAATTGTTATGAATTTCTGTCGTCTTCAAGTCTTTCGATTCCAGTTTAGGCGTACTATTACTCATATAAAAGAATAGCTTCAACACGTTATATTGCCTTGCGCGTTAAGGATCTCCATTGAAAACCTGCCAACATAAAATGTTGTACTGACTTATACATTATTGAGCTGCTATGTATAGACAGAGGATTAGCGAATCTGTAATATGACCAAATCACTTCCTAATGTAAATAATATGACATAGTTTTTGTATAAAAGTAGTTGGAGGTACTGAACGTGTAGCATGGTATCAATTTTGTTTGTTCGTCTGGTAGAGCTGATCATAGTGATTAAGATACATATTGTATGGACACGACTTCCCGACATCTATACCAGGACAAATGGTCTGCGGTCATGAACTTCCGTTTACCTCACACTCTCTGTAGAGCGTGCATGTCAAGACGCCATGCATTACCATGGTAACGTGATACATAATAAAAGTGCAGAACATGTTCCGGACATTGACAGTCTAGAAACAATGTAAGAGTAGACATCGTGCATGGTAGCGTGTAACGGATCACCGGAAATCAACCGCTACACATATATACCGTATTATTCAAACTTCATTAACTTTCATTTTTTGTTGCGTCTGTTTCTGAAAATATTTGGTCTGAACTCGAAAACTAATCCCGAGTTGAAAAGTATCTGTTAAACGTTTACTTTTGATGTCTGCTTTAAATACACTAAAGAAAGTGTCGGCCTCGGATGTACAAACTGTAACAGACATGCAGAGGAAATAGTACTATTAAGTTTTTATTGAGAATTAACATGACAGGGAGTTGGATTTGAGCCAAGAAGGCGTCCGATATAGCGGACTGGGGGGAGCCGTGAGGATGGGGGATGATGCACTGCCTACATATTACGGCTGATGGTTTGGCGGCAGCTTGGGATCTCCCAAATCCTATGTCTATTACCTTCATATATTTTCGCCATATGTGAGAACACTCGCGTGCGTTTTACAATACCTAACGCCCTCCGAAGTCGATACACTAAATGTAATCCTTTCATTTCTTTTTCAATTCATAATCCCCTTTGTAGACACCAGATGTGTCTGAGGGCATCATACGTGCTGACGTCACCCATATAATCGTTAAAAATAAAATGAAATCAAATTCAAAATATTTTATCCACTGCGACACGTGCCACAGTGAATTGGAACAACTGTTTTATTAGAACCTAAGCGACAGAAGAAAAGGCGACCTTGACCTCACTAAACTAACGAGTCAGCAGCTGGCAGGGCGCCATCTTTGTTTTGGCTCGTGCATGTCTTTCCAACAAGTTTATCCAGTTTATCGTACTACTGAAGATCACAAAGTTATATTATTTAAACATAGACAAGCAAAGCAATATATGTCCTATTCAATCTTTATGTTATCAATCAAATGAAGAAATAAAGGCCACTTTATCGGTTTGAATCTCGTTTTCGTGAATATCCAAGCACTACTAGTTAACTTTGTCACTGCACTTACACTGAAGTACTTTCCTTTCGTGAACCTTACCGTACCGAAATATCCACTAAATGGCCCAGATGTGCTCACCTAGTAAGAATGAAAATACACAAAATGGCTGCTATAGACTGCTAATTGATTGTCACATTGTAACAATAAATTGTCTCTTCAGGGTTGATCCTGGCGCATGCGTTCTACCCCGGGGAGGAAAAAGGAGGTGACACCCATTTTGATGACGATGAGCACTGGACGTATAACTCTGAAGAAGAAGGTACGAATGAAGCATGTTGATATAAAATTGATATATAATATACAACTGGTGTAAACTGTAATGGTGTTGTGTGGCACGTTGTAGGGGGACGTTTGGGGTATCGTCGGGAGTATTGAGGTGGGTAGTATTAGTGATGGCGGTTGGGATTTCGCTATGGTGATGGGATTTGTAGGATTGGTGATGATGGTGGGATTGTATTATTGGTGGTAGTAATAGGATTGTATTATTGGTGTTGGTGGTGGGTTTGTTTTATTGGTAGTAGTGGTGGTGGTGGTGGGTTTGTTTTATTGGTGGTAGTGGTGAGGTTTGTATTATTGGTGGTGGGGTTTGTATTATTGGTGGTAGTGATGGGATTGTATTATTGGTGGTGGTGATGGAGTTTGTATTATTTGTGGTGGTGGTGTGGTTCTGTATTACTGATCGTAGTGGTGGGATTATATTATTGGTGTTAGTGGTGGGATTGTATTTTTGGTTGTGGTGGTGGTGGGGTTTGTGTTATTGGTGGTGGTGTTGTTTGTAATATTGGTGATGGTGGTTTTTTTGTATTACTGGTTGTAGTGGAAGGATTGTATTATCGGTGGTGGTTGACAAGCAGTGAGATAGATAGGTTGTTGTACTTGTATTAGATGTATTGGGCTGGTATGACAAAGAAAGGGAATGTGTTTCCTAAAAAAGTAAATCGATGATGTAATTGATTGCCGCAGTCACAATTAGGCGGCTTATAAATTAAATTTTTAAAAATGTAATTATTTGTGAAATATGATTTCAGATACGTCAGAATGAAATATTGAAAAGCCAAGCAGCTTTTAGATTAAACAAGAGCTCACGAGCAAGGCTTGTCTCGCCAGATATCTAAACATATTCCTTTCTTTAACGTCACACAAATGTTTGTGCAAATAGACTGCCATTGAATCCGTATTTGAATTTACTAAATATAAATATAAATATAAATAGCGGCCTACGTGCCTCTCGATAATCAACATTACTCAATTATGTTGTTTCAAATAGAAATGTAATCCATACGTTCTTTCATTATAAACCTTCAATAAGAAATGTTTTCCTAAGTTAAAGCCGCTTTATTCTAAAGCGTTTACACGCCAGTTTTGCCTATTCACCTGTTATGAAAATAGCATACAAGTATGAAGAATCTACAGGCAAATGAAATCTCTATTAATAAATTGTTTGTTGTTAATATTGCCTTTATTTTTCATTACTGGTATACTCTGCTAGATTGTTTACGCTAATGAATTTGTAAAAAAGAAACAGTTTGCGTAATTAAGACGTAAAGCTTTTACGATTTAGTTAACTTAAATTACAACTGAAGAATAACTCTAGGTTCGTAAACAAATGTTTCACAAGTGGTATTATCGACTCCCATGCATGTCAGATTCTCCTTGTAGTCGCTAACGTGTGTGTTTTTCTCGGAAGGTGTGGACCTGTTCATGGTGGCTGCTCACGAATTCGGCCACGCCCTTGGACTGGGTCATAGTAACGAGCCCGGGGCCCTCATGTATCCCTGGTACCAGGGCTACCAGGCAAACTTCCGGCTTCCGCAGGATGACGTCATCGGAATTCAGGCACTTTACGGTCAGTTCCAATACATTTTCTTCACGCGACATTAGCGTGAACGAATTGCTCGCAGTAGGAAACTCAAAACTTAATTTTCTGACAAATGGACGATACCAACAATCTTTTTTCTATTGAGAGTTTTTTTAGTCTGGAAATATGCTAAGGTGATACAATATCGGTGAACAAAGTCTGAAAAGAAATTTAAATTGAAGTTGTATTTTGATTAACAGGTGCCCGACCGCGTCTGCCTCCTTCCAAAGATCGACCGACCCAACGTCCTCCAGAGCGCGTGACTCCCCGAATCCCAAGGCCCCGACCTACTCCCCGACCTCGCAACCCCGTGACTCCCCGACCACCTTACAACGGGGACTCGATTGATCCTTGCAGCACACCATTCGATGCCATCGCTGTTCTTCGCGGAGAGCTCTTCCTCTTCATCGGCGAGGTAAGCCGTAACTTTTGAGAAAGGGCCAGCTTAAGTTACATTTATCTATATCGTCTTAGAAGGATGTTACACTTACACTAACTTACACTCTCTGCACTCCTGTAATATGTCATAGCAAAATTGAAGGCATGCGGTTAGCTATTTGATTGGTCTCCGGTCAAAATAAACCTGACCAATCGCCAGGCTGATACCTGCCCTTTGAAGATTACAGAGAAGCGACACCTGACTTCAAAGCCAGCCCTTCTTTCGATGTACATCAAAGGATCAAACTAGTCTTCTCGTCTCGCCCACAAGATGCTGAACACCGAAACTTCGATTTTGCTATGACATATTCCAGGGGTGCCGAGAGCGAAAGTGAATGTAAACGTAAAAGTAAAATTAGTCTAAATCGGACATCGTTAGAGTAGAATAGTTTTCTTTGAAAAATAATTATACAGGATTTTTATACAAAAATTGTACTTGTATGAGTTGTACCAAATGGAATTAAGCCTTTGTGCATAGGAACCAAGAACAATAGTATTAGTACTGGTATGATGTGGGAGTTTGAAGCAAGATTCTTGATTATATAATCACCATTCACTCTAGTATAGGATAGCAATAAATAAATGACCATATTGACATATTTGCCGATATTTTTACCGCAACCGTAAGGTGTATGTTGCCTAGTAGAATTGTTCGTATTTATATTGGTTTTAAGATACTGTTTGTCTCAACCTCACTTTCGTTTAACGATAGTGAATAGTGAACGCTATTGCCAAATCCTGTTACTACCAGATCAGGAACATCGGCTGTATTCGGCAGTTTCTAACTGCAGATGCATGCAAGATTTTGGTGCATTCACTTGTTACCTCTCGGTTGGATTATGGTAACGCCCTGCTCTGTGGTATATCTGACAAACTAACTAGTCGTCTGCAGAGGGTCCAGAACACTGCAGCACGGCTAGTTACTCGTACTCGAAAGAGAGAGCACATCACACCTGCGCTTTATTCGTTGCACTGGTTACCTGTACGATACAGGTCGCAGTACAAAATTCTGGTATACACATACAGGGCATTGAATGGAACAGCTCCTCAGTACCTACAGGAACTTGTTACCCTGTATCAGCCGTCAAGATCACTACGGTCGGAGTCATAATCTTTGTTGTGTGTCCCAAAATCTCGTACTGTGCCCTACGGAAACAGATGCTTTGGGAGGGTTTCGGCTACGTTGTGGAGTAGCTTACCATCTGCTATTAGGAAGTCAAATACCCTGGCCAAGTTCAAGAGGGACATAAAAACTCACCTCTTCACGTCTGCATTTTAGAATCTTTGCAAAGACGTCATGTAAATACCGCCCTTTTAGTTGTTCAATTATGTGCACATTGCTTGTTAAATGTATGAAAGTGATTGCAAGCCTTTGTTGTTTGTTTTCACAATTATAACCATTACTATTATCCATATGTTGTAAAGCGCCTTAGAGTAATTTTACAAATTATATAGGGCGCTATATAAATGCTGTAGATTATTATTATTATTAACAGTGGAAACCACATGACCAAATATCAGAAGGGGGATAGGGGCACAACTGGCCATGTATTGCTGTAAACTGTCTTTTACAGTTTTAAGCCATGTAATGTACTAAAACTGAGGTCACTGATCGCTACATTGTCCTGTATGAAATAATGTGTGCTCGATTTTGTCTCCCTTACTAAGACTAATACATTATGTATAGGACAGGGGTTAGTAACTTTTAAACTTACTGATATATACTCGCCGAAACTGTAAAAAGAATTCAAACGATGAATGTTTGGTTTGTTACAGTACTTCTGGAGACAGACAGATCAAGGATTGATCGGCCGGGAGAAAATCAGTCTACATTCCTTCTGGATGGGTATGCCCCACGAAGTGGACCATATAGACGCCGTGTTTGAGCGACTCAACGATCAGAAAATCATCTTCTTCATCGGTAAGTATTCTATAGAAGTGTGTGATTGATAACCAGATATATAGGGATCAGGGTCCGTATCCATTCTCATACTCAAACTCAGATTCTGTGCTCAAGGCCAATTTTTGTTCCGGCGTGAAATAAGTACGAAATCACATATGTCAATGATTTTGGAAGAATTTTGGATGAATTTGAAACCGAATACTTTTTCAGTGTAAGAATCTAACTTTTTGACAATATCACTTAATTGATTGTAGTGAGTTTCAAAAGATTTGGTAAGCGCATAGAATACGTGCTTGAGCATGACAACGGCTTCATGAATACGGACGCAGGTAATTGCTATCGGTATAGTGGATACATCATGTGAAATGACTATTTCTCTAAGTTATATATTATCCTGCTGTGAGGAATTTTTATTTGTAGATACTTAACTGTATGGGGTATTCTTCTCCCTTGATGATGGAACATATTCCTTATCATGACAATTAGCAGCCATGTGTATGCCTGACGCATCGGTGACATTATTGCTATATGTACTCTATAACCTTCATATGCAATTGGCTAGTAATCCTTTATGCACGTCTGAGTTAAAATGTACGTAGTTGCACTCCTATGTTAAAATGTACGCAATTACAATGGAATGGTCAAGTCGATTCGGCTACGCTTCAAGCGTAGTAACACTTACGTTTGAACATGTTGGAGGAAACAGGTACCATTTTTTTTTAGAATTTTATTTTGAAATTAACCTCCTTGATCACGTGACTCGTCTCCGTTCCATAGGTGACCGGTACTGGGTTTACAACAGTAACTCGCCTGTGGCACGGTTCCCACCGGAAGGACGTCCCATTACCGAGTTTGGCATCCCGCCAGACGTGAAGAAGATCGACGCGGCTTTTGTGTGGAGTTACAACTCTCGGACCTACCTGATCAGCGGTGACATGTACTGGAAACTTAATACCGAGAACAACCATATCGAAATGGACTACCCCCGGGATATGAGTATATGGCGAGACGTGCCCGTCCCCGTCAGCACGGCATTCCAGTACAAAACAGGTACACTATCTTAGCCACTTAAACTTCCGTTCAGACGTGGATAGTAGTTATTTATTTTATCAATTGCTTGTACTTTTTTGTGCATCTTGAGGGGTTTTTCGGAACCAGAGATTTTGATATCTAATATTTAATTTTATTATCTTAAAAACCACCAAAAAGTATAAAAAAAATAAAAATAATAATAATAAAAAAAAATATTATTTTTTGATCACATATTTCCTGAAATCGATTCTACAATTCATCATATTCATATAATATTAGAGAAAGAAGTACTTTTAAACATAACTATTATTTTTAATTATTTATCTGGTAATTCCATTTAACTGGGACCATATGCATTAGCATTAGGTTAACATACATATCATTTTTTCATCGTAGGTCCCAAAGACAAAAGCAGAACCTACTTCTTTAAGGACGACAAGTTTTATCTGTTTTATGACGACAAGATGCGCGTGAAGCAGGGCTACCCCAAGAGTATACGTGATGATTGGTGGGGATGTAAGCGGCGGGTAGCCGCGATCTCCAAATATGGAGACCCGGAGAAATACAACGGAAATACTGCCCACAGCGCCACCACCGGTCTGCTCACAACTGTGATATGTGTATGTTTAGCATTCATTGGTCGATAAACTATGTTTAGCGTTCATTGGTGGATAAACCATGTTTAGCATTCATTGGTTGATAAACTATGTTTAGCATTCATTCGTCGATAAACTATGTTTAGCGTTCATTGGTCGATAAACTATGTTTAGCGTTCATTGGTCGATAAACTATGTTTAGCGTTCATTGGTCGATAAACTAGTTGATTAGAACTTGCTTGATAAAAACACTGGCTTTTATTAGATACAAGGTGAAATCGTCAAACTTGAGGTATGGAGGGCCGTAATGATAAAAAATATCACATTGTTTGGGTATACAGATATTTTTGTACAAGATTGATACATACTGCGCTATGAACATGAAGTGTATGCCTATATTTGGTCATAAGTGCCCAGATCTCTTCAAGAAAGATCTTGTTATCACCTTGTAAGGTAACTTTTGAATTGTTATAACATCAATATCTAATGACGTTACCCTCACGTGACCCCATATATCGCCAGTCAAAGACGGATCCCAAATATGTTTTTGAAAACATTTCAATATGAAAAAAATCATGAGAGGGGGGGCCTAGCTTAGACCTCTTACTATTGTAAGTTGACATTTTTCAAACTCAATCGTGACGTTATTTTTTTTTAATGCTGTCAGAATTCTGAAAAAAATATGAAGATTTTATATGACAGGTAGACAATTTTATTTTTCATTTCAACAAAATAAATTCAAAATTTTATGAATAGTATTGAAGAACAGGGTACTCTTTTGATGACCACCTTGACTGAATTCAAGATGAATTCTTATAACCGACAATGGTTATAGAAAACACTGCCACCATACTTACATACATACAATTGATCGTAGACCTAGGTGGTCTTGTTCAGATGACGTTCAGTTTTCAACTCTGCTCTGGATAGCCAATATATCTTTAGCCAGTTGTAAGCGTCCGGAGGACAAGTTTCCATGTCCAGTATAGACAGGCGTCGGTGTCCGATATATACCAAAGTGATAGGACCGCTTGTGAAATTCACAAAACAGTTCCAATATATCCATATTAGGGGCCCGTTTATGTGAACATTGTGCTAACATGCTAGGAAATGTTACAACGTTGCTTGTGTCATTTATTTTTAGAAAATATCGGACCATGTCATTTTCAAGTACCTTGCACTAATTTTGTTTCTATGCAAAAGTAAGCCTAGCCAGCCTTAGCACAGCCTTCCGCGTAGGGATTATGGCTCTTGTACGTTATTGTGAGCGTATAGGTTGTTTTCTCTACCAACACGTACACTGGTGTTATCAATACGTAACTTAGTGTATCTGATAGTGTTCGCTATCACGTGCGTCCTGACGTCACTTACGCGTGCACGTGTCTTTTCATTCCAGTCACCTCCCTAAATCTGTAACGGTGACCTCTCACCTTTCTCATCACAAACAACACGCAAGTATCTTCTAACCAGATTTCATTCTTTTTGAAATTCTACGCACGGACATAAGTCCCCCACCCTTGTCTTATCACAGTCCCTCCCCACACAGACCCGCCCCCTTATATCCCCCGCCCACCTCACAGGCCCTCCCCTAATGTATAGCCCAAACTTAGTATCCTCTATATTTGATACCTATTGTTTTTAACTTCCTTATATTTAAAGTCTTGCCATTCTGTTTGTTATGAAATCCTTGTACCGAGTGCCCTTGTGACGATAATCATTATATTCATTATATAACACAGAAACGGTTGTGATTTCAATATAACATGGTGTTATAACTACATCCGCGTGCGTTTTGTAAGAATGGGAGGTTTATGTTACTCCTGTACTTAAAGTAGTGCCGAATGACATATATTTATGGTCGCCCGTAGCTTTTATATGCACTGCCTCGCTTCAAAGGATACATCGCATAATATTGTTTAACTTTGTAATAATGAAATTTCATAACAAAGATATATCGCATTGTTTCCAAATAATTTATACTTAAAGACCGAGCGAAAGGTGATTTTACTTCAGACCTTGAAGTTAGTTTACACTTTTAGAAGTATTAAGAGAGAGAGAAAAAAACACTTTTCGTGATACCAATGTCTTCTTTTTTTTGGTACATATCCCAAAAGGAACATCGAAATCCAAAACACAGCCTTCAATTTTAGACTGGTGTAAAAGCTATTTCTCGATTGCCTTACTCGCTGATGTTGGTATTGTTGCCTAATACTCATTTTTGTTAGCATTATTTATTATTGATCATGTTGATTTCGTTTGGTGCCAATTAGCTTTTTAATGAGTGTTTGAGATTTGTGTTTGTCCTATGACACAAACCATTTGTGCCATATTTCCGTTGCCCAGAGTTATTGCATGCCGGGAGACAAAGGGAAGACAACTCTGGTTTATGTTATTTGTAACTGTGATATTGTCGATGAATGAAAGCGCCCGTAAGACTTCGTTGTCTACTGAACGTTGATTATAATAATTGAGAACAATGAAAGTTTTATTTCATGTACATCCGGTTATGATAACCAAACCCAGCTTCTGGTTACTTAACGGAAGTGAGCGCGGTATTAAGGTCAGTTCACGTGGCCGTTTGTCCTAAGTAGCTCTCTCCACATCAAAGAGAAATTTTGTCAGGGTGAAGTACATGCTTTAAAAGTCCGATAAAAACAAGCGTACATTAAACCTAGCAGCAGGGAGTGCTGTTATACAGTCAACGCGACCTGTTTTTTTAAGACAACACAGCTGTTTTCGTTAATATCTTCCAAATATCTATATCAATTAATTTATCGTTTTAAAACAATTGATGATCAAATTTATACACATTTAACGCTACATGCACTTCAATAAAATCACTACTGTGTCTTACCAGACAACCCTGTTCATATTCTTCAGTAAATGTTTTGTAAAGTAGCAAATACGATTTATCCAGCCGAATAGTGAGAGCGCATGCGTGAATGTGTACTGAAAGGCCAACACATGTTTGTCTGTGAGGATGATTGTATCGTGTGTGTGTGAGAGAGATTGTGGTTTATATATTACTTACACTGGAACCAGTTTACACTACATCAGTGTAACACGGTGTAATTCAGTCAGTGTAATATTACCATGGAGTTTAGTGCAATACTTTGTCATTAGATGTTGATAATCTTTGAGTGATGATAACTTTATGCTCCAAAGAATACTGTAAATATTTTTGTTGTCCATTTGGATTTATTATTATTAATTTGTAAAATTGATTACGTCAAATAACAATGTTTTTTAAACAGAAATTGTCGGAAAATCATTTGCTATGTTATTATTTTTTTTTTTTTTAAAGTCTAGTTTAGAAATATTCAAAAATGTACTATCTCAACACTTACATAAAAACTGGATATAAATAGTAATTTTGATTAAAGCTATAAGGCGTAATAATTCCGATTTATTTCAATTTTTAAAGCATGATTTTACTAAACTTTCATCATTAGGTACAGATGGTGTCTCGGGAGACTTTCAACTGAATATATATTTTGGTAATTTGCATATTTTGGGAATTAGCATAATTTTACAATATTTGCATATTTTTGTCATTTGCATTTTTTATAATATCTGTTGAGGAACATAATTTGTTGCATATATATTTGCTTATCATAATTATATGTTTTTGAAATCCATTTAACTGTAATACTCATTACATGTGATTCAATACTCTATAATACAAGTAGTTTTCAGATTCGTTCTGACCTTATTTACATGTTATAAACAGAAAACGGCACATTGCCAGGAATTTTACCGGTAAAAGATGCAGATTCTTATATAAATAAATTCCAACCGGTGATTTGGTTAAGAAAAGGTGTCAGCAAAATAATCAAGTTTATATGTATATTAAAAATAGTAATATCGAAAAAAAATCATACCATCTCAAATAATGACACTACTACTTAATATATTTTAGATTGAAACATATTTATTTAGATCTCGAAAACCTATACACATGTTCATCATTTATGAGGAGTGTCTACATGTTTGCAAGCTGGCCTTGGTCTGTATGTATAGCTTTGTGGTACGACTGTTTTAACAATTAGTTGATGATTTTGTTAGATAGGTGCAAAATTATCGTTTAAAACACGCACAAAAAAATAAAAGACAGATCTTAATAAAACCTTTTTTTATTGGTTTGATCAACCAATATGCTTAATTAGTCTTTGCCTTCAATATTTAGAACAATATGGTACACTGTAGTAATTCATGTTGACGTCATCGTGGAATTAAAACTGTAGTACTTAATGCTGACGTCATCAATACTGAAGTACTTAATGTTGACGTCATCAATAGTGTATCGCATTTTGATGTTTGAGTGCAAAATACACAAAGAATGTACGTTGCAATGTGTGCTTGTGTCACATTCTGATAATAAAATGGTCAAAATCAAAAACTACTTTTACAAAAGAGTATATGCTATTTTAAATTAGGCTTTTATCAATATTCATTTGAAGATAAACACGTTTTTCTCTTTTTATGTTGTATCCATAAACATTAGAAATTTAGAAGAATAAAGAATATTGATTTTTCAGAATGTTCAGATTGTAAAATGGAAAAAAGGAGGAAATTTCTGTACTATTGGAAGTATTTTTCTAACCGAAAAATAGAAATGTGTAATTTGTATTTAGCTTATAAATCACAGGTTAGTCATATGATAAAGGGTCGTTGGAAAAACGTACAAGATTTTAAAATACAATACCATGCTTATTGGTTACCATGGAGATTTTTTACACATAAAAATATGTCTGCCTGTACATTTCTATTGAGAGATTGAATCGTTCTATATTTTTCCTTCACACAATTGTATTTATTTAATGTTTTGTCACTTCAAAGCTAAATAAACTTAATTTGATACAAATGTTTTGCTTTGCGTTGTAAATAACTCTTAACTCAATAACCCCTGAAGAAACATTTAAATTCTTCCAATTCAAAGGTTGGAATAGTTCATGATAAAATTTCAGGGGTGAATGAGTAATGTAGGTGAACCTCCCTGTTCGGAAGTCAAGTTCTGGCGTGTTATTTGAGCATCTTGGGGAATATGATTGTATAACCGCCATCATGAATTTTAAGAAGATAAAAGTCATGATGTCTGTTTATGTCAAAAACAACAAAAGAAAAATCGATTTCATCTTATAATGTGATTTATTTTGGTTCGTTCATGATCAATTTTGTTGAACTATTTTACTTATTGATGAAACAGCCATTTTATCGGAAAATGACAAGAGTTTTCTATTGTTACCATTGCCGTCAAATAACAAACGTCAATCAGAAATCATTCCGGGTTTCCCATTAAAAGTTTGAGTGTGACGTCATAACATGATAAGCATACCCGATTACTCAAACAGTACGACGGAAAAACCCGAACGGTTTCCTTCAAGGAATATTGTTGAGTCGTTAGTCCGAAAATTTTCTTGTTTGTTCATACGTAAAACAATGACGTTTCATAAAGAATGGTTTGACATCATGAAGATACATCAAAGGTAAAAACGCACCGCCTTGCTTTTGTAGTTAATCAAGCAATGAACTGCATTCTGCTCATTAAGATGAACGTAATACACACAGGTGAATGCACCGTTACCTGGTAATAGATACAGCAGACCCAAAATGAATTACACTCGCGGCATTTTACAGCTGTTTTGTCCTAGGACTCGTCGGCGATGCTTGGGGTCGTAAAGTTGGAAATCCAAATTGTCTAAAACTACTTGTAACTGAGGAGTAGGTGCGCAAAACCTTTTGATTATGAATTTGAAAATTTAGAGGAGTACTGATTTATTTTAAATAAAATAATATGTGAAGTATGAACCATGTCGCTACACCAAAGAGATACCTGTGGCCATCAAGCAAGGTTACGGCAGACCTCGGGAACTAAACAATGTTGAAATATAAACGCAACACTAGATTTATAGTCCTATAGTTCGAAACTGGACCGTAAACAAATCGCATAACATGCGTGTGTTTAGAACAAAACATTCCTAAGTTATTGTTCGAATATGCATTCTGCATTGCGTGTATTAACAAATTTTTATCTTTTATTAACTGGAAATACCAAGATGTCTTTCGAGGCATAGCATTGAAGCACGACACCTCGTTTGTCCCGACGGACTCCATTCTACCAGAGATCGATGAGGGTATTGTTGATACTAGTGGGGTCAATAACCATACGGCTAGTGACACAACTGGACTTTATCACCGGGAGTAAATGTCGTTATTCCAGAACAGAGTTCAATGGATTTAACATCAGATCGTTACTGGAGTCGAACGACCGGGTTTGTGGTACCGTAGAGAAGAAAGGACTCCTGAACCCATAGAGAATAGATAGAAGTGGCCAATATGGTACTTGACCTACTTTTCGTATAAATAGCACTCGTAATAACGAGCACACGTATCTCCTCAATCAGAACAAACGATAATTAGCACAGGAAATACAACGGTAAGAAATGCACGTGAGTCACACGTGCATGGTACACAGGAGTGCTTTACACATCTTGTACTGCACCTGTGGCGGAAATAGAAGTTAGGTATCAGTGTAAATATACATTATGAGAGGTTTGTTGAAAGACGAAGGATAGCGAAACGTATTTCTCTTTACGCTGTGCTACCTACCAACTGTCTGAAACACTCACAATCGTATTAATTGGATTGTTCGCAGCGCTTTCAATCAAACCTGACCATTAATTAGATTTTCAATGCGTGCAACATAAGTTCTTGATGAGGAGGTATCCCCCCCTCTCTCTCTCTCTCTCTCTCTCTCTCTCTCTCTCTCTCTCTCAACGCCCTCCCACTCCAAGCTATGTTAATTCAAATCACGTACTTTTGAGATTTCGAAAGGAAGTACCAAATCGTCGCTTCCATCCATTTAAAGCTAAACGTCAAGAAAAAAGCAGTAAGTATTTATTTTAGGACCCAGGAGGACAGAGCCCATAACAGTCCTTGCTTTGGAGAACTCTCGACAACAATCCAAAACATCAGGTATTGCCAAAATAAGGCGCTGTAACTAAAGAATACTTAAAGAGCGAAAAATTAGAACGTCCGAAATGTTGCAGTTGGTTTCATTAATTTTATTTTGATAATTTTTGTGTGCCAAACACATTAGTCGCCTCTTGCGGTGGGTACAGACATAACGACAGGTATTTTCTTTTCTTTACACCCAACCTACAGGGTAACAGTAGATATAAATTCCTTTATGATGATAATAATTCGAGGTTCTTATAAACCGCTTTATCACAACCTGGTTCGTAGGTCGTCTCAAAGCGGTTCACAAATTAGTATCCGTGGTTATAGGGCCTTTGCAACCAGTCAATAGCTTTCTAAACTCCATGGGGAGCATGCAGCCGGTGCTGCCATTCGGCGCTCAAATCTAGCTTTCAACAATTCAAGCGCTGCCCAACCTCGTACGAACTAATTTAAAGCTGAGTAGAATGGAACAAGCGGAGTAAAGTATCGTTATCAAAGATACAACACAGTGACGTGACGTGACTCGAACCCGCAACCCTTAGGTCACGAGCCTGGCGTCCTACCAATCGTGCCTTTTCTTGATTCCTAACCTGTAGGTGTACCACTGTTGTCACATGTATAACGTTTTAAACGACTTCTAAAGCACCATGATGTCAAGATATAGAGTATAGTTTGATGGGTGAAGATCTTTCAAGATCACAGGTGTCATATGTATTAAAGGGTTTACACGACTTATGATAAAAAAAAACCTATGATGCATGGAATGATGATAATTGGACTGGCTGCTCGATAGGAATATGCACATTCATATTATTTCATATTTGTCACGTTCACATACTATGATCTGCGTTAACATCTGTTTTTAGGCCAATTAATTCTCGTAAAACATTTAATGATAAAGGTAATACAACACTCTGACAACAGACGAGGTCACGTGTTTCTCTGGTCTCACGAGAATACCCACAACCAGTGCTGTACATTGTACAGGCTCATGGTCAATGTGAAGTGCACGTATCAGATTCAAATTATCTTACCTCGCGTTCGAAGTACCCGGATGTCCTGAACTCTCGCATCCGCTACGAATATTTAATTAGTGATTAAGACCGTTGTAAGCCCTGGCCTCATTTGTCGTTTCAGCAAAATGTACAAATTGTAAATTGGAATAATTATAGAGAATATGAATTACCGAGTATAATATCTAGAAAAAAACAAGCGAATAGGGAATTCTGTTTTACGTATGAGATATCAATAAAACGTCACACAAACGCGTCAGAATACAGA